TATCTCCGAATCACCATCGTTTCTCCATTTGCTCCCTTTCCCGTGCTGTCCAGGAGATAGGAGGACATAGACCTCCAAGGCTTCTTCGCGGAGCTGGAAATATGCAGAGGCTAACGTGGGAAGGACGATGCGGAGAGGAGGAGGAGGGCATCGAGGAGGACAACAGAAGAAAGACGTGCAAGAGGAACACATGGAGGGGAAGAATAGGAAGGAAGGAATATGGTGAAGCGAAATTGAAAGAGAAAACACCAAGTAATCAAGAGAGCCAAACGAAGCCACCGTATCCCCTTACCCCTTTTCCCATCCCGCTTCTTCCTGCCGTCAGCAACGTCATTGCTACCCCTCCTCCCTCTCCTCCTCCTCCTCCTCAGCTCACTCGCTGATAGAAAATCGAAGTAGTTCGCCGCCTCTCTCTCTCTCTCTCTCTCTCTCTCTCTCCTGTCTCTTATACACATCTAGATGTGTATAAGAGACAGGTTGAAGAGCTAATTCCAGTTAGAGTAAAATTGCAAATCTGATCTTTTCAGGGTAAGTTGATGAATATAACGCCCGGGCGGTATTTTCAGATGAAGACGGTACCACTATCTTAAATGTATCTGACCGCATTTATGGCCGCACCAGGATGATGCATCTGGCCGCAATTCCGTCCCGAAATAAGTGAAAATGTCCTACTGTGAGTATGGTCTAAGAGTTGTAAAAACCAAGGAGTAGAGGACAAGTTCTTTTTTTTTTTTTTTTTTTTTTTTTGTTGAAAAAACAGTCTCTTCGCTAGGAGAGTACATTGGTGGGAAGCAGCACCAGCTGGAAAATGGGTCCAGCGTCCCATTGCAAAATCCTGAAGGAAAGGATCTTCAGCAAAGTTTGGCGAGTCGCAGACGCAACTCGAGGAACAGGCTCACCGAAAAGGGCTGATTTACACCAAACATCTCGCCGCCCCACTCACCTGTGTTGTTTGCATCCAAATCGGGAAGCGTGTCACGGATGTGAAGTGCCAACTACGGGGACTTCAATGTCAGCCGAGTTCCTCATGTGGACCCGCCACCTCCCACAGATGACCAACGAAATCTGTTTCCGAAAGGCGGCCTGAGATGCTTCAGGTGCGGGTTTGAAGCTGTTCTGTTTTTTCTTCCGTTGTTTTTATTTTCACAAAAAAAATGAAATAAAATGATTGTCAAGACGTAAGTACCAAACTGGTCACAACTCGGAATCCTGACGGAAGCAATGTTATCAAAGATTTCTCCATTTAGGAAGAAAAAAAAAAACAGACTCATGTGCCGACAGTCACTGGTTCCAAACCTGCACCTGAAACATTTCAGGCTGTCTTTCCAAAACAGATTTCATCGAAAGCCAGCAACATCGACACACAGCTTGTCTACAGCTAGGGTCTCCGAAACAGACACAGCAATGGCTGACCCTCACCCGCCTCATCCACAACAGCGAGGAGTTCTTAATACTTAGGGAATATAACGAAGACAGATGTCTGCATATGCCTTACACCACCAGTACTTGGCCCAGCTATGGCCCGCGGTCAAATGCGTCCCCGGTCACTGCTTCGTCAACTACGACAGACCAACCCTCCCTCCCCATCTGACTATGACCAACGCAATTGGATCTCTAGAACCTCGACCATCGGTCCAGGATGCGTTTGACTGGCGGCGTACCTGATGCACATCAGCTGGCCTACGCTTAACGCCTTACACCACCAGTACTTGCAACAGCTATCGGCCGCGGTCAAATGCGTCACGGGTTGCTGCTTCATCGTATAGGACGGACCCTCCCTCCCCATCTGACTATGACAAACGCAATGGGATCTCTTGAACCTCGACCATCGGTCCAGGACGCGTTTAACTGGCGGTGTAACTGATGCGCATCAGCCGGCCGACGCTTAAAGCCTTCAACCACCAGTACTTGGCCCAGCCATCAGCTGCGGGAAAAAAATAGAGTAGAAACATTTCTAGTCGGACGAATTTGGGCGCTCCTGTAGAGAGAGGCCTGTACGTTTCCTGAAATAGTGGCTTGTTAACGGGCGGGCACAACTTAAGGGAAGTACCGGTGGTTTAATGATGCCCCGCGAGAGAAGTGATCGACTTTATTATTGACACCATGTTGCCAACCTCGCTATCCAGTTCGAACCCCTGTCCAAAACTGCAATAAGTCCATTGTCCACGCTGTGTTGTTGTTGTCATCTCCGCCATACACAACTCCCCGCAGAAGAAAGCAGGGCTGCGCCAGACTGTTTCATTGGATTTTCACCAACTAATCGGGAAGGAGGCTGAACCCCGACAGCTGAAAGGCTTTGTTGTCATGTCCGCCATACACAACAGTAGGCTGACAACACCCTCTGCACACACACACATCCATCAAAGTTTGATGACAGTCTGACAGTCATTGCCCAGAATGCATTTGACTGATGGATGTGTGTGTGCAGTAGGTGTTGTCAGACTGTCAGACTGTCAGACTGTCATCAAACAAACCCCACTACAAGAACCATACAGTAAAAGGCTGCAAGGCTCAACAGGTGTGTTGCTGGTCAGTCTATCAGGACCATCACCATATATAAGACGACAACCAGAACCTGCTTACAAAAGACTTGAAAGGTTCCCCATGCCTGTCTCGTGAAGGAAACGTGCACAGACATCCATTCACTCAATTTCCACCGGACACAAGAAATTAGAAGAGAGTAATAAGATACCCACTCCTTTCTCTTTCCTAAAAGAATCGTGGGATTTTACTCATCTGATTCCAGTGGAGTTCGAACTCAGGTGTGTATTTCAACAGTACAAGGGTGTTGTAAGATATACCCACTCCTGTCCTTCGGGATATCCGTTAGAATTGGAACGATACAGAGAAGATTACCTTGGCCGCTGTGCAAGGATGACACGTGTAAATCGAGAAACGGTCCAAATAAGTGCGCGTGTTTGAACCTGATATTAGGTTCCGAAAAAAAAAAAAAAAAAAAAAAAAAAAGAAGAAGAAGAAGAAGAAGCTCCTTCGACACGTAGCCACCTACTACAAGAGAGAGGAACATCAACTGATCATACCCAACCTCAGGCCGGAGATTGCTCCTGTCGACGAACACCGAAGTTATATGTACACAGCGACACCATTAAACCATTCTTGCAGTAAAAAACACAATCCCCAAACACCAGGCAGCCACAGAAATCCACAGCTTTCCCAGCCAGGGACATGAATCAATCCCCAACAACAGCCACCACAGCGCCTAACGAACTCTTGGCTCTGTATTCCATGTCCTCTGATAACAGCCGCAGCCTGAGGGAATCGCACACTCACAGTACTATACGACTCTTACCCTGTCACACTGCCCCCGCAACACTGGCAAAAAGCACACAATGTCGTTCCAAACAAACATCAAATCTAAGGACCGAGCGATAGATAGATAGCATGCACCCTCGTGCGAGCGCTACAACCGAAAAAAAAAGCACCATCGGTACCTTCCATGTCCTCTCATCAGAACAGGAAGATCAGATGAGAATCACACCACAGCACTGCCAAAAGAACAGACTATAAAATCACCTTTCATCGTTCTAACCGGACAGGAGGAGTGCCTTTGCTTCAATCCGTGCGCTTGGACAAAATAGATCCTCCTCTAAACTGAATGCCAAAACTTGAAACACATGCCCCGCATATTTAGGGAGGAAGAGAAAACCACGACCTGCTAGTACAGGACCAATCCTAGCCTCTCGACCCACTAATGTAAAGAGCTAACAACAACATCGGCATGTTGTTCGCAACCCATCACCAAACAGACCCCATTTCAAAATGATGCATTTGGTATCTCAGTGTGTGTGTGTGTGTGTGTGTGTGTGTGTGCGTGCGTGTGTGCGTGTGTGTGTGTGTGCATCATCCCCCTCCTCAGCCACCAAAACCTCCTCAGCCACCGAACCCTTTCCCCCCCTCTACCACACACACACACACACACATGCGCCATCCCCATCCTCAGGCACCGAACCCTTCTCCCCCTCTACCATGCTCACACGCACACGCACAT